GGCAGCTGGCCTTGCCACCCACCCAGCTGCTCAGGCCACACTGCAGTCACCCTGGATTCCTGTCTCCCTCTTGAGCACCCCTGACACAGCCACTGCCGGAGTATCAGCCCCTGTCTTCTGTCTCCTGGACCTTCCGACAGACTTCTAAACAGAGAATCCTGTTTCTGCTTTTGCCCCACTACGGTGATTTCTCAAGAGAGCAGCCAGAGTAATCACTTTTAAATGATTTAAAAATTAATCAAGGTCATACTTCCATACAGTGGAACATTATTCAGCCCTAGAAAAGGTGGTAACTGATCTACGCTTCCACATGGACACATGATGCCAAGTGAAAGCAGCCACACATAGACAGCCACATAGCAGGTGATGCCATTTACAGGAAATACCTAGAATAAGTAAATCCATGGAGATGGAGAGACTGGTGGTGGCAGATAGGAGTCTGGTGGTTGCCAGGGGCCGGGGTAAAGGGGAATGGGAGCTGACTGCTGCACAGGTATGGGGATTTCTCTGGGGCTCACAAAAATGTTTTTAGCATGAGGTAGAGGTGACCATGAATAGGCTGCCTGACCCTGCATTACACACTTTAAAATGATTCGTTTTATGTTATATGAACTTGACCTCAATAAAAAAAGAAAGAAAACCAATTAGCTCACGGCACATTCCCTGCCTAAACCCTTCCACTGGCTTCACACACAGTGAAAATAACATCCCAGGGGCACCTGGGTGGCTCAGTGGGTTAAAGCCTCTGCCTTCGGCTCAGGTCATGATCCCAGGGTCCTGGGATCGAGCCCCACATCGGGCTCTCTGCTCAGCAGGGAGCCTGCTTCCTCCTCTCTCTGCCTTCCTCTCTGCCTACGTGTGATCTTTCTGTCAAATAAATAAATAAAATCTTTAAAAAAAAAAAAAAAAAGGAAAGAAAATAACATCCCAGCTCCTTATCCCGCAAGGTCCCCCGTGATCCAGACTCCACTCTGGGACCTCATACTCTCCCTCACCCACCCCTCAGCCCAAAGCTCTGTGATGGAGGTGATATCATCTCCATTTCAAGAGGGGACATCGAGTCCAGAGAGGGGACGTGGCTTGTGGGGACCACATGGGAATGCAGGCAGCTGAAGCCAGCCCTGCCTGACCCCAAATGAGCTCATGACTATCAGGCCACGGCACAGGCTGCTCAGACTCTCCGTCAGGATCCGGCACGGACGGCCCCGGCTGCCGAGCGTGCTGGTGGCTCTGGGCTCTCAGCTCTCAGCTCGGTGGGCCGAAGAGCCTCCCTAAGGACGGCCCCCTCCAATCACAGGTCGGTGGGGCGTATAAAAGACTGCCCCCCCCCAACCTCAGCCCCAGAGATGCCTGGGGGATACCTGAGGCCCAGTCAGAGCTGCATCTCAACTCTGCTCCTTCCTCTGCCCGGCCCACTCCTTCTTGCCCTCCCAGGGCTGGTTTCCAAGGGGGCCTCCTGCCTGCTAATCTCCACTCAGAGTCTGCTTCCCCAGAACACCCTAAAACAGCTGCTTTGTCCTTGAGGGCGGGGGCCGGAGGGCACAGATTTTTATCCGGGGCGGGGAGTGGGGAGGAGAGGCAGTCTGGCAACAGCCCATGAATGACAGGTCAGACTTGCATTGTAGAGGATCCTACTGGAGGACACAGCATAATGGAGAAAGCTGGGAGGCCAAGAGGCCAGTGAGGAGGCTGGGAGAGGGGCGGGAGCCTGAAGTCACACAGAGAGAACAGGGAGCAGGCCAATTCCTGCAGCGGCCACTGGGTGGACTAAATGGACGGTAATTCAAGACTGGCCTGGGGATGGGTGGGGTGACTGGGGAGACTCTGGTGCCCTGGACTGGCTTCCATCTGGAGTCACTCATCAGCTCCGGGCCAGCCTGATGGGACCAGCCCTGGCTCTGCTGGTCGCTAGCCGTGTGGCCTGGACGTGATGCCTTGGTGTCTCACTCACCATTAGAGAAAACAGGGCTAATACCAGGCCCTCCTTGTGGGGTGGCATTCGCATGGCTCAAAACGCTTGGGCAAGGCCCCGGCCTGGGGTGAACGGATCCTCGTGTCTACTCCAGGCTTCCTGAGTCCCTGCTGGGGGTCTGGGAAAGGCCCTGGGTCAGACCCCCTGGCTGCAGACCCACGGTGAGGGGGGCAAGTCCCTCTGCCTCTGAGCCCTGGGGCAGCAGTGGGAGGTCCTTTAAGTAACACTTGAAAAGCCTCTGGCATGGGGGTTGGTGATGACAAAGGCAGCTGCTGCTGCAGCCGCCCAGGAGGTCACAGCCAGGACGGTGAAGCTCCGTGTCCGTGGCCATCCCATGGCAGACAAGCAGCTGAGCCTCTGCAGGGCCAAGCCCCATCCCTCCTTCGCGCTCTGAGTCCGCTCCTCCTCCAGTGTTCTCTCCCTAAATGTCATCGCCATCAGCCAGCTGCCCGAGCAACGGAGAGGCTCTGTCCTTTCTCTAGAGTTCCCTGCCCCAGGCCGTCACCAAGCCCTGGCACTCTCAGCCTCCCCGTCTCCATCCTTGTCATCCCCCTACCTCCCTGCAGGTCATCCTGACCACCCCTCCACCCCTGAGTGATTCTGTTTCCTCACTTGAGCCAGCTTGAGACCTTTGGGGGTGCGCCATGAGCCCCCTGCTGACAGCCAGGCTCATTTAGAGCAAGGCCAGGCCTGGCTATTGTATCCCCCAGGGTATAGCACAGCACCTGGTACATAGTAGGCCCTCAGTGAATGCTAGCCGGCTGGAGAACAGACAGACCCACGAATGTATGCGGGTGCTGGCCAAGCCAGTCGAAATAACATTAATAAGAACGTGAGCGGAGCACATGCTTGCAGCTCCCACAACCTGCCAGGCTCCTGTTCTAAGCCCTGGGAAGAACACATTTCACGCTCAACGGTGTGTACTAGTTACCATTATCTCTCCGATTTTACTGTTGGAAGAAACATCGCAGAGAGGTTAAGGAACCTGCCCAAGGTCACACAGCTAGTAGGCAGCAGAGCCAAGATACCAACAGGGCTTGGGATCACAATGACAAGCCCACGCATCCGGAAAGCTCTGGGCCTGTGCTGTCCTAGCCCCAGACACCACCCCCAGACACCACTTAGAATCTTCCAAATACCCCACCCCTACTGCGGGGCAGGCCTGAGGCGCTTCCCCAAGGTCATGCAGCTGCAAAGAGGACTATTACCTACTTATTTGTTGATGAAGAAACTACAGGGACTCGGGCTGGGGGCTACTCTCCTGCCGCCTACCTATTTCCAGGGACCCTAAAGAATGCTCTGAACCCACATGGCTGAGGACCAGGATGTAGAAATGGAAGTCAGGAGGTGGAGGTGCCGGGCCACCAGCTGTGTATGCCCTCTGCCTTCTTGGATTCTGGCTGAGGGCCCTTCGAGAACCTACCCGGGACAGAAGCTTTCAAACAGGCCAGCAGCGGCAGGGCAGTGCCTCGGGCCTGCTCGTGGGGTGGGGTGGGAGAGGGCCTAGCCACCAGGAACCCAGGGACACCCCCCCAGCCCTGCCCCCGCCACAGCTATTCTGCTTTGTCCCGGCTTCTGAGGGTGCCTTCAACTGGGGCTGGGGGGAGGAGAAAAACGGTTCTGCAGTCAAAATAGCTCTTGAAAATCAGTGCCTTAAGGAATAAATGCCCTTGTCACATAAAACGGCCTTCTCAAGTCTACTGCGGTGACATTCAGGGACTTGGATGCACTGAATTCTGGGATGGAAGAGACATGAGGGTGAGGATCCTTCATGCCCTCAGCCAAGTCCAATGTCAAGGCTTCCCTGACTGTTCGTGGCCATCCATCCCTACTCTGCACACCTGCCCTGGCTGGCTGGGGCCGGTGTGTCTCCCCTGGCACAGCCCTGGCTCCAGGCCTTCACTCACATGGTTTCTCCCGCCTGGAATAAAAAGAGGGACTACATATTGAGATCTCCTGCCTCTGACGAACAGCATGGGTGGTGCTGTCCTCGTTCCCTGAAACCCTCAGGACAGACCTGAGAGGCATCATTATCCCCATCCGAGGGAGGGAAAAAGACAAGTGAAGAAAAGAGAAACAACTCACCTGAGCATTCAAACCCAGATTGGTCTGACTCCAAAATATGTTTTCCACACCACCCTCACCTCCCACCTCCCACACCCCTGCCTCTCTCCCTCCTCCCCTTCATCCAAATCCCACCCACACTCAGGGCCCTTCCAGGGCACCCCACTCTGTCTCACCCTGACTCCCCTTCTGTAAATGCCATTTCCTCTGCTCTGAACACATTCCCCTGTTCCCATACCCCCTTCACTTTGCTGACTCCTTCATACCCTTTGGGAATCTGTTTGGGGGTTACCTTTCCTGGGAAGTCCTCCCTGGACCGGCTGGGTCAGGAGCCTCCTCTGGGTCCCCCCTCGCAGTTTCCCCCATCACAGCCCTAAGGGTTATCTTGTGGTCATTTGTTCTCCGGCTTCCTAAAGACACCCTAACCTTTCGAGAGCACGGTCCAGGTCCCCTGTGCTCACCACTCTATCCTAGGCCCAGCGTGGTGCAAGGCACACAGACGGTGCTCAATAAACACTTTCTGAGTGAGTGGACTTGTGAGTACAACAGGCAGCCTCGATGCATCTGCAACAGGCCAGGCCCAACTGGCAGGCACCAGCCACAGGGCACAAGCGAGCGCCATCCCTGTCTTCCCGGTCCAGCCCTCCTTCCGGCAGGAAGCCTCTTTCCACCTCTACAGTCTCTGTCCGATTCTAACTCTGTCTTTTTTGTTCACCCAAACAATGCCTGAGCACCAGTGGAGCCAAGGGATGCTAGGGGAGCATGTGGCAAACAGGACCCAGGAGATGAGGCCTCTCCACCCTCCGCCTGGCCATGCTGGCCCTGTGGCGTTCACCGGGCAGAGGAACACAGAGCACCTGCTGTCCTAGGCCCAGCTGGTGGACGCGCCACTGGCTGCTTGCCTGCCGGCCTCCCCACACCCACCCAGGCCACGGCCCCTTGCCCAGACCCGGCCCAGCCGTACCCGGTTGATGAGCTCGCCGACCATGCCTGTCCAGGAGCCGTTGGGCTCAGGCGCCCCGTACAGCCCATCCTCCACCAGCCGCAGGCGGTAACGGAAGCGCAGGAGCTCAGCCAGCTCACGCAGCATGTCCACACAGAAGCCCTCGAAACGCTCATTCCCAGACAGGGCCTGGAAGTTCGGCCGGCGCATGACGTAGGGGTTCTCCTGGGAAGCAGCAGAGAAGAGAGGTCAGAGACTGGGCAGCTAGGGGCTGCTCGAAGAGCCTGGAGCCCTGGCCAGGGCCGCCAGATCGGGAATCCGCCTCCGAGAGGGATGGAGTCAGGGCATCTGTTCCTGGCCTGAAGATGCTCAGTGGGGTTAGGCCTGGAAGCTGCCGGCTGTGATCTCGGGACGCTGCCCCCTCCCTGCAGATCACAGGGAGCAGTGTTCAGCTCTGCCGGCCAACTTGATGCTCAAATGCTTACCAGGGAGGCGAGTAACCTAAGAGTGAATCACATTGGAAGGAGATTATGCCAAACTGGAAGAGGGGCTTTCAAATTTCTGACCATGATCATAGTAAGAGATACATTTTACTTTGCAATGCAAGTCCTACGCACGCATATGCATACTTAAATAGACTTTGTTCCTCAAAAGAGTTCTTACCCTTAGGGACCAAAAGGCAGCAGACCCTGATTATTTTCCGTTCTGCTCCACTTCACTTTTCTTTTTTTTTTTTTTTTCTTTTTTAAGATATCAATATACCCAACATGGGGCTTGAACTCATAACCCCGGGATCGACAGTCCCATATTCTACTGACCAAGACAGCCAGGTGCCCCTCTTGTCCCCACGATCGGTACCGGCCCCCTGAACTGACTTGATGAGCTAGCAAGGGATCACAGGGTCTGCCCCACCAGGATCAACAGCCTGCCGACATCACTGTGAGGGAAGCAGGCCTGAGATGCCAGATGGCCCGACGTCAAGAATTCTGGAATCCTTGGCTGTTTTGCAAAATGTCCTGATTATAAAGGTTAACAGCAATTCACATTCTAATACCGATTCTGGTAATGCTTTGCAAGCTAAGCAAACACCTCAGACTTTGCACAGGTTTGCTACCCTGATGCTTATTTGAGGGGTTCCAGCAAACCTTACTGACTGCCCCCAAGCACCAAATGAGCACAAAAGTAGAGAAAACGTGCCAAAGGCTAGTAAGATGAGGCATTAAGAAGATGATGTCGACCAAAGGGAATCTTAATCTTGACACAGTTATTGTCTGAAAGGGTATGTGTATAGTGTCTCTCCGGACAGAGGAACAAAGGAAGTTAGGGCTTCGGACACAGCAGGGAGGGCTCTGGCAAGAATATCCAGGATGGTGGCCGCATACCGAGTACCAGCTGAGTGCCAGTCCCCCCACCCCCGGCCCTCGATCCCTTTAACTCCTGGCAGTGACCTTACACCAGAGGCATCATCAGACTCAATTTACACATGTGGAAAACTGAGGCTCACGGAGGTCAAGCGAGGTGATTTGTTCCCCAGCTACTTTTACAATAAGGCCAAGTCTCAGTATAGGCTCTGGGTTCTCGGACCCCACCAAGCCCCACAGCTGAGGGGTAGTGGGATGGAGGGAAGTCAGTCCTGCTCTCTCTCCACCAAGCCGCCTTTCCAAGCCCCAAACTGTGGAACGGGGAGTAGGAATGTGAGATGCTGCTAATAATAGCATCAGTAGCTAGAATTTCTTGTAGGCTTGCTGTGTGACAGCTACTCCGTCAGCGTGGGAGGTCGGTATTAATACTCCCGTTTCAGAGATGAGGACACCAAGGTCCCGAGAAGTGAAGCTATAAGTGGCTGAGATGGACAAGCCAGGCTGACTCCAAAGCTCAGCTCTGAGGCCCTGTGCTAGACAGAAGCCAAGTGGACAGGATCCGAGGGGGACATGGGAGAAGCCAGGTAGACCGGAGACACGGGCCAGGTGTCAAAGCTGGAGAATCATAAATCAAGACTTCTCTAGGCAGGCACCAGCGTTAGAGCTGGAAGGCTCCCCCCATCCCCAAGCTCTCTGGACATACGGAGCAGGGAACTGAAACTCAGGGAGGTGCAGTGTCTCATCTGAGGTCACAGAGCAGAAGTAGGGCAGTGGGGAGGGGAGATGGGACAAAGTTGGGCCTCCAAACCCAGTTGCTTTGCACTGTGAAGTCCTCGGTCCTTCCGCCAAAGCCCAGCTGATCTCCAGATCCAAGGCTGAGACACCTGTGTTGTGGGTTTGGGATCAAAGCCTCAGCATTGGGGTCTGAACTTATAAAGGCAGAAATAGGGACTGGGGCCTATGAACAGAACTCAAGATCAGAGAACAATGATGTAGGACTCAACACAGAGCCCCAGACCACCGGAACCAAGGGTCTGACGGAGCCTCTCACGCAGGGTTTTCTGACTCCTTCAGTTTTCTGCGGAAGCGCCGCAGACAGACAGTGGGCTGGTGCTAAGTCTGATTCTAAGAATCCATCCCACAAATGGCTGTGCATCTGTACACAAAATGTACGCCCAACGGCAGCATGGCAGTACGGCTCCCAGTGGGAACAAAGACTGAAACAGCCTAATTTGGGACAGGTTAAAAAGATTATTGATGTCATCGAAGACTCCTAGGCAACTCCTAAAATAACAAGTTCTATCGGATATATTAAGAGGAAAAGGAAAAAAAAAAAAAACACCTAGCTACAGATTGTATGTGCATTGACGTTTCTGGAAGGATGTGGTCTCCGAGGAAAAAAAGGGGGTGCGTGGAGCGGAAGGAGCCTGGCTTTCCACTCCTCACCCCATGTGCTCTTTGAAATCTGTTTTATGTAGGTTTGTATTAACTTCAGTGTCTCCTCCAATGTGATAAATTTTTTTAATTAAAAATTTTAATATTAATTATGAAAATATTCTTAAAATTTGAAGCAGAATATTTAAGTGTGTATAGAAATGTGAATGGTCAGAAAGAGCCAGAGCAATCCTAAAGAAATTGGAGGACTGAGCCTCTGGGGTATTGCTACTTAATTTAAAGCTACGGTATTTGAGGGGCGCCTGGGTGGCTCAGTGGGTTGGGCCTCTGCCTTCGGCTCAGGTCACGATCTCAGAGTCCTGGGATTGAGCCCCACATCGGGCTCTCTGCTCTGGCGCGGAGCCTGCTTCCCCCTCTCTCTCTCTGCCTGCCTCTCTGCCTGCTTGTGATTTCTATCTGTCAAATAAATAAATAAAATGTTAAAAAAAAAAAAAAAGCTACGGTATTTGAGACAATGTGGTGTTAGTGCAAAGACAGACAAACCGACAATAGAATAGAAAGCTTGGCGGAGGTTGGGGGAGTGCCTGGCTCAGTCGGAAGAGCCTGTGACTCTTGATCTCAGGGTCATGAGTTCGAGTCCCACACTGGGCATAGAGATTATTAAAAATAAAATCTCAAACAAAACAAAAACCGTGACATAAATGTGTCCTGTCCCCCTACCTCACATGGTACATCAGGAGGATGGTAGATCTCACTGTAAAAGGTACAACGATTAAGTTTTTCAAAAACAAATAGAAGGCTGTCTTTGTGACCTTGGGGTAGGCAAAGGATTCTTATTCTAAAAGCATTAATCAAAAAGGAAAAAAAATCACGGATAAAATGGACTTTAGTAAAATTAGAAATCTTTTCATTGAAAGACTGAGGGTGCAGAAGCAAGGCACAAGGTATTTGCAGGACAAACATCCAGTGAGAACTTATATCCAGAATATATAAATAACTCATAAATCGGTAAAAAGATCCCATGTCCCAATTTTTAATTAAAAAAAAAAATTCTCAAACAGGGGACTTCCAAAAGAAGAGTATCAAATGGCCAATAATATGGAAAAGGTGGTCGATGTCCCTATTAGGGAAATATAAATGAGGACCACAATGTGAATGGTCTGGGTGTCATCCAGGTACCAAGCTTGGGGTGGCCAGGAGGACCAGACGGCAAGAGCAGAGGGCCTGGCCGGGCACTGAGACATCGGCCATGGTGGGTTCTGGTTTATCTGGGATGCGAGCTCGGGAAGGTATGCCTTCAGTGCTGGGAGGCCAGGTGGCTTTTCTACCTCATGTGATCCTCCCACAGCCCTTCGAGGTGGGATTAGGAGACTCATTTTACAGATGAAGGTTTAGGCCAGCTGAAGTGGCGGGGGGCAAAGTCAGGAGGAGAGCAAGGTCCGACCAGCCACAGGTTCACCCAAGAGGAAGATGAGACATCCCAGCATGGGGAAAACAATCACGGGGACCACGGAGTGTTCTGGGAAACCTTTACAGGAGGGAGCAGGGCTGGAGGTTGAGGGAAGGCCCCACACAGCCTTGCCTCCATTGGCCTTCTTTTGGACCTTAGCTTCCTTGTGGGGCCTCTGTCAATCTTGGGCCCAGCCAACCTTTCAGCTCCAGACCAGTGAGCTTCACCACAGAGACAGCCTTACCCTTCCCCCATCTCGGGCCTCCCCCTGCACCCTCACTCCCAGCCTCTCTGCCAGCCTCAACACCCACATGAGCTTCCCCTCCCTCCTCCTACAGCCCCAGCAAGCTCACGCCTCACTTCCCGATCTGGAACACCTCTCTGGATCTCTTCTCACATCTAGAGAGGACACTGCCCCTTCCAGCTCAACGCCCTCCAAGGGCTCAGGGAAAGGATAAGTGCACTCTCCAGAGACCCCCCCCAACAGCCCCACAGCCGCCGGGCCACCCCCATCACAGCACTTACCACCCCCTGTGCTTGCTAGGTGCCAGGCACTGTTCTAGGCCCCAGGGACAGAGCGAGGGTAAAAAGGCAGAGTCTGACCGCCTCTTGTCCCAGGCACCCAGTTAGTCTCACGCCAGAATCCCCCCATGCCCAATGCAGGCCCAGCCCAGTTTTCTGATGTCAGAAAACATCAGTGAACGAATGGGTATGTCCAGCTCTGCAGACGAAGCCACTGCTTCCACATCTGGTCTGACAAACATCTCCTAAACCCCTGTTCTCAAAGCTCATGCTTCTAGGCATGTCCAGCCCTTCCTTCTCCATGCACCCAACTCCTACACAGCTTCTAAAACCCTGGCTAATGCTACCTCCTTTGTGAAGGCCTCTTCGAACTCTTCTAAAGCTGAGTCAGTCTCTCCTTTCTAGGTGGGGAGGGGTTCCCTCATAACCTGTGTTGGAATGGTTGTGTCCAGGTCGATCTCCTCCATCAGAATGGCATCCCCTCTCCCAGTGCCACTCAAGAGTAAGGAGACCACAGACTGACTAGTCACGTACATCCAGAATTTGTGTTAGGCCTGGTGCACAGCGAGCGGCTTCAGTAAATTTTGTGGAATGAATGAATTAATGAATGAATGAATCCATCCATCCATCCATCCATCCATCCATCCATCCAAAGAGCAATGAATCTCGGGAAGAGAACCACACTGTCTTATGGGCTTTAGGGCAAAGGGGAGACAGGTATGAGGAGGGGATGAAGCCTCCAGGATCATGGCTCAACTCTTCTGACATCCTGTCCCTGACCTCTGTCCCTGCTCCCCACCAAGGACTTCATCTCTCTTGGACCCTGGAAGCTTCTGGGTCTGGCCACACTGCCACAGGCGCGGAGGCGTGACTTCTCCCAGCCAGCCCAGCCTGGCCCACTGGGGAGGCTGTTATGAGGCGTCTGGTTTCCCGTCTGCAGGCCATCTGGGCCTCCCCAGCAGGCTCACTGGCCCTTCTCCAGAGGGACACGAGGTCCTCATTAGACTGGGAGTTCCCTGGGGACGGAGAGAACAGCTCCGCACCGCATGGCTCGAGGGGGCCGCTGGGATCCTGTGGCACCTGTAGCAACCCTCTCGAACTCAGCCCTGGCAGCTGGGAGCAGCTTACACACTCGCTGAGGGCCTTGCACAGACAGCGGAGGCCAGCATGCCAGGCACTTGGCTGCTCTACAGTGCATGGCTGCCTGGCACCCCAGCCTCCAGGCCCAGCGGCTCTGGGCCGCCTCCTGCTCACTGGGGCCTGTGTGTCACCCCCTGTCCTGACCTCCTGGTGGCCTGCTGTGCCTGGCACGAGGCAGCAGTGTGCAGGGGGGAGGCCACAGTCTCTGAGCATGTCCCTCGATTCTAACCAGGATTCGCCCTGTGACCTGTTTCCTCACCTTCAAAATGAGGAAAGTAAGACAAGCCTCATGGAACGGCTGACAGGTCTGAAAAGCAGCGCCTGGGAAGGGCCTGGCACAGGGGATGGTGCAGGGTGGGGAGCTCCGTACACACTCGCTGACGCACAAAGGCCCCTTCGTCTCTGGTCTGCTGACCGCAGGAACAGCATGCACAGGGGTTCCTGAACCATGTCCCTGGCTGGTGCTCAAGTTCAAGTACAAAGGATCGCAGGCGCAGAGCACAGCGGATCCAGCTCAGGCTCTGGAGCCTCAGGGACATGACCCCTGCTCTGGCTCTGCCATGTCTTCACTGTGGGACCACTGGCAAGACACCTCGCCTCTCAGAACCCTGCTTTCCACAACTTCAAGATGGACATGAAGTTGTCACGTGTCAACACCCTCAAGCGGCCAGTGTGGCAAAATGACCATGCCAGTGATGGTGATTTTGGGGGGCCTCCTCTGGGCCAGACACTGGGGGCGGCACCCAGCCACACACTGTGTGGCCCCATGGACTCCCCATGACACCCACCATGTGACAGCCAGCTGCCAAAGCCTATGCTCTCCCCTCTTGCAGGGGCAACAAATCTGGTGACACCCTGGCCACAGTCAGGAGTTGCTGGGTGCATGGGTCACATTCCCTGCTGCTCTGCGTGCTGCCTGGGCCGAGGCAACCCCCTCGCTGGGACTGGGTTGGGGTGTCACTCAGGAAAGGGCCGTCCCTGCCGAGGGCCACTCACCAGAATGGTTGTGACCACCAGCGTCTTGTTGGCCAGCGTCTGCGACAGGTTGATGTCCAGGGTGGTGGCGTTCATGGCCAGGGTCCGGTTAGAGTACCATACCCCGATCTGGGGCAGAGAAGCTGCCATGAGCATGAGGCCAGCCTGAAGATGCCTCAGCCCCCTGGGTTGCCCCCACCCCACCGGGACTCCGGAGGTCCCCTGGCCTGCTCACCTCGCGGTGGCCCTGCCGGGATTTCTCAAGGATGCGCAGGGTATAGTTGGTCCTCTGCCCTTTGCTGTTGAACTCGACCCGCCCAGTCAGCCCGTCATACTCTACCTAGCAGGGCGGGAGGCGGGCAGAGGGGGGTGGCAGGGGCCCGGAGGTACAAGCAGGAGAGACCCAGAGGGGAGGAGATGGAGAAGGAAGAGACAGACAAGAGAGGGAGAGGGACCAAGGAAGACCACAGTTAAAAGAGAAAGACAACTCCCAGCAAAAGAAAGAAGGTGGGACAAAGAAGCCAGGAGAGGGCAGTGCAGACGGGCAGAGGAAGGCCGGGAGGAGAGAGGCCACAGAAAGGAGGAGGAAGAGGCCCAGAGAAAGCAGGCGGTGGGGGGGGTTGGTAGCAGGGGAGAGGGCAGAGGGGCCACAGGGTGGACACAGTGAGCCTCCCAGCCTGAGGCGGACGGCCCTGCCCCCTCGGCCCTCCCCGCTCCCGGCTCACCATGCGGAGGTAGTTCATGAGGCTGGTCCCGTGGGGCCAAATGTTGGCCGACGTACAGGCCAACGGCTTCACGCCGATCTCCTGGCTGCGGTTCAGCTCCCGGACGGCGCTCACCACCACGTGCACGGCGTCAAACATCAGGGCTGCCGACAACTGGGGGGAGGGCGGGGGAGGCAGAATGGCAGAGAGGCAGCTCAGCCAGGGCACCCCGCAGCCCTCAGACAATGCCCATCTCTCCAGGAACGTGGAACCAGGCAGGCAGGCAGTGAGGACGGGTCTCGGGGCGGTGGCGGGGGGTGCCTTTCTCAGGGAATCAGATGTCTATGGGGAAAAAGCTCGTGCTGCCCACGTGTCTGGGGGAGTCTTGCGGCCTATCTCTCTGAGTCATGCGGCCACACGCCTGTTTGTGGGAAGGGGAAGTCAGAGAGGGTTGGCCTGGATGGCCAGCCGGGTCACCTCCACGGGGAGATGTCCGTGGGCCTGAGGGCACGTCCTGCCATTTGTGTCCATATGGCTGATGCGGGCACGGGAAGAGGGCCACAGCCTGATGCTCATGTATGCAGACGGGACACACACGCCTGTCTGTCTGCACACAGCGTGGGTGTGGCATCTAGGAGGCAGGCATGTTTTGGAGCCTGGGCCTGCGCAGCAGAAAGCTCCAAGCTGGAAGCCTGGCTCTCCTATTTCCACCTCAGTTTCCTTCCCTGTAAAATGGGAATGATTGTACTCTCTGCCTCCATCACGTTCTAGCATGGGGATCAAACAGGATAACACGCACACGGGCTCAATACCGCCCACGCTGTGGCTGACGACCCGTGGTGTGTGCGTTCGTGTGTACAAGAGAGTACGTCTCTGCCGGGTCGGTGGGAGGGTCTGAATGGCTGTGTTGTGGAGACAGGTGCACACAAATGCACCTCTGCCCAGGTAGGTCCATGATGTCCAATGGCCTGGCTCCATGTGTGTGTGTGTGTGTGTGTGTGTGTGTATGCAGGAGCAGCATCTCGGGGCCTTGGCAGATAACTACGTGTCTGGGAACAAACACACGTAGGTATGCGTCTTTGGTATGCTTGCCTTTATTCAACATGTATTATTGGATGCCTACCCTAAACCAGGCTGATTTCAGTGCTGGGAATACAATGGTGAACAAAGAAAGAAAGCCCTGCCATCCTGGGACAGTCTATTAACTTGTATCTATGCCTAAGCAAAATATAGAACAACTCCTGTGGTGATTAGATATGCAAGGACAGGAGTTAGGGAGAAAAATTCAGTAGGGAGGGGAGCTAAAACACTGAGCAGTTTTTTTTTTTTTTTCAGATGGGGGACCAAGGAAGGTCTTATAACTAAGAGAACGTTGGAGTGCTGACTTGGCAATGAGGGAGAGTCGCTAGTTCTCTGGGGAAGTACAAAGTAGTGGGAGGAGCGAGTGCAAAGGCCCTGGGGTGGTGTGTGCTGGGGCCACACAGGAGGGTGTGTGGAGGAGGCCAGTGTGGCTGGGGAGCATGGGAGATGGCATGGGAGGTCTCATAGCATGTACTCAGAAAGCGAGTGAGGGTGCCAGAGGGTTCTGAGCACCATCTGCTCGAGGTCTGAAGGGACCCACAGAAGTGTTTGTGTGCCTGGGGGGAAGGCAAGTGCTCACCGCAGGACCCGGGTAGGTGCTGGCTTCACAGTTCTCCCTCCAGGACATGTTGAGGCTGCGCACAAACTCGGGGTAGAAGGGATGTGAGGTGTTGAACATGGAGAAGCCCAGGATGTTGGAGGTGTCCTCCACAATCCCGTCCAGGTGCAGGATGGGGAAGTCCTGGGACCCAGAGGAAGGCATGAGGCCTGGGGCCGGGCCCTAGGCAGGCCAGACACCACGGGAGGGGCAGGGGGACCAGAGGAGCTTGATGGGGTACGCACCATGGTGGTGAGGATGTACTTGTAAAACGCTGAGGTCATTCCCAGCTCTGAGGCCTGGAGAACACAGGGCGGTGCGGACACAGTGGGAGAGGCAAAGAGCCATGGGCCGAGCCGAGGAGACGCCGAGAGAGGGAGAGAGATTTAGAGACAGGCCTAGTGAAGACACCCGTGGGAGACGCAGTAAGAGACACCCCGAGGCAGAGACAGGGGGAAGAAGACGCATGGGGGCAGAGGGAGACCTCAGTCCCTGCTGTCGCACTGTGTGGACTGGTGCCCCAGGTGAGATGGAGGTCTCCGCAGAGGAGAGAAGGGCACCCTCAGATGCCCGCACCCCTCTTTAGGGCACTTACAAGACTGCCTTCTGGAGACAGGCAGGCAGAGGGATGCCTTAGAAACAGGGCAGGCTGGGAGGATACCCTGAACCTTAACCTTCTCCCCGCACTGCCCCAAAGCCGAGTGTGGGCGGCTCCCATGTGGGGCTCAGCCTTCTCATGGGCCAGATAAGTCACCCCTCCTTCTTCACAGTCCTCAAGAAGAACAAAACGAGAAGGCCTCTCCTTACCAGGGGTGTGGGAACGCTGTCCCTGCTATGGTCATTAGAACAGTAAATGGTGTCAGCCCGCATTGCCTGAGTGGCAGGTACTGTCATTGTGAGGGTTGGGGACGTGCAGGTTTGAGAGCAAAGTGACCACTGGTCACTCGGCTATGGGACCCCAGCCCAGGCCTGCCTGCCTCCCTCCCAAGCCCGAAATCCTTTCTCTAAGCCTTCCTGCCTCAAAGGCCCTATGGATTCTGTCCACACATCTTCCTGCATGCTATGATCAGCAGTGACATATGGTTTTAATTAAAAAAAAAAAAAAAAAAAACTAGAGAAAAATAAATAATACAGATTGGATTATGAGGATGAATTAAGAGCGGGAAAGCAATGGGTGATGAACGAATATAGGTCACCTCTGGCGGGCATGAGGCAGGCCTGCAGGGGCAGGTCCCAGCACTATACCCCGCCTGGGTACCCCTGAGCCAGCCCATTTCCTCTCCCCGCCCCAGAACCCCAGCTCCTTTGGCCACAAAATGATTATCACACCCACCCAGCAGGGTAGGTGGGAGCCAAATTCAAGTGCCTCCATGCGGCAGGACAAGCACTTAGTGAAGATCACGGGGAGCTCCCATCGCAGCAACCCACCGAGGCAGCCAGTGTGCAGAGAGAGAGGAGGGGACTCTCCAGGGCCCGACTAGAGGTGCAACCAGGAAGCAGCAAGCTAATCATCTGTGCGTGGGAAGTGGGTCTCCACGCCCCATGGGACCACTGAGGCACGTGGGCATGGGGTGACTTGCTCTGTGATGCCACATTTTTGCCCCGACTCTGCAGGGAATCAGGGACGGGGGACCCACCTTACGGAGGATGAGGTGGGAGATGGACGCATTGGCGTCAATGATGATGGTGGACACCTTGTCGTCGCGGATCTCCTTGAGCAGCGGTGTGGGGTCCTGGCTGTCATCCAGCATCCTCACCGACAGCGTCTCCTTGGAGATGAGGAAGCCACGCACCAGCTCCTCCAACCGCAACAGGCCTGGGGAAGCCAGAGGGCCCGGGTCAGAGTCCATGGCAAGTGCCCGGCATAGGGGAGCCTGGGAGAGGACGAGGGCTGCACTGCCCAGAGCATGGTGGCTCTCTAGGGGGTACTAGGCCCCGGGACCCCGTGCTCAACCTCCTGGCGACTGTCTCCTGCCACCTTTCTGCCTCCTAGAATGTGTGACAGGGATTTCACAGTTCGCTTGTGCAAGCCACATTCCACTCCTGTCATGCAAGCCACCACCAGCCTGCCTGGGGCTCAGGCCTGAACCCTGATGGCAACCCAGCCTCCCTGCTCCCGCTCTCTCTCACCCACACCCAACATGCCAGGCTCCACCTGCAGAACAAGGCAGAGCCCACGGTGCAGGGGTGGAGGGAGGGGGCACCTGAACCACAGCCTTCTCTCAGCCCTTCCGACAGCCACACCTGCCCCAAGGCTATCCCTGAAGGGCAGCCACAAGCGAGTGAAGCCAAGGTGTGCCTCCTCCTATGCAAACCCTCTCATGGTTTCTGGTCCTTCAGAGTAGAAGCCCAAGTCCTTAGCCTCTGGGCCCCACTCCCCCTGTCCCCCCTCTCCCCATCTGGTGCACACATCCCCATCCTGTGGCCCCCAACCTGTGGCCTCCGTGCTAGCTGCTCCCTCTTCTCCCAGATGGCTGCACAGCTCCCTCCTTCACCTCCCACAGATCTTTACCCCCATGTCACCTCCTCAAAGTGGGGGTCACTATTCCACTTCGCATCACACCCCCAATCCGTCACCCTCTTCTGCTTGTCAGTAGGACTTACTACTTCCTAGTTCCTCCCATGAGGAAGCCAGGGTACCCGGCCTGGCCAGCGCATGCACTGCTGTCTCCAGTACCAAGAACAATGTCGGGGTCGTGGCAGGCATTCAGTAAATGCCTTTGGAAAGACAAATTTCTCCTGGAGAACATGGACCCCTCTCTCTCCGCCTGCACACCTGTAAATCCACCAGCTCACCGGACATCTCCCCTTCATGGCCACAGAGATGCCTCGACCTGATTGCGCCCTCTTTCTTGGGCAGAACCCGGTCACCACCGGTGCCAGCACCCTCTCCCTTTCCCCTCAGGACTCTCCTCAAACCCCTCCAGGCCGCTCCAGCCCGTAGCCACACCAGAGACCTAACCAGCACTGCCGGGCCCTGCCTGTCCCTGGCCTGCCAGCCACAGCCCGCGGCCGTCTCCATCTGGGGCCAGAGCTCTTTCTGTGACACACACCCAGTGTGTTCCCGGCCCCGCCCCATGTGGGAACCTTCCAGGCTGACACAAGGCCCTGCGTGATACTGCCTCCTGCACGTGCTGCTTCATGGCTCCCACACATGGGCACTGGGCTCACTGGGAACTTCCTTGAGCCTCTCACAGGGGCCACACACCCCTGGGCCCTCGGCCTCTGCCCGGCCACACACCCCACCTCTCCCTGACCCCCAACACCTCCCCAACCTTCAGGTCCCGCTCAGAGGCCCCCTTCTCGGTGACCCGGGCTCTGAGCCTTCTGGACCCGGGTGGGATTCCCTTCTCTGTGCTCCGACAGCACCCCACAGGACCACTGATGGTGCTCGGCTGCCATGGTCCCCTGCTGGCCCTGGAGTGACCTCAGGGACCACACCCAGTGTGCACCTACCAGGGCCTAGCAGGAGTCTTGCACGTGGGTGCCCATCAGTAGCTGAGGACCAGATGATCTCTTTAGGGCGGTGGTGGGGGTTCTGGGTCCCTGAGGGGGGAAGGATGGTAGGGGACTAGGGGAGCTTGTGCCGTGTGGGAGACCAGTGCTCTTGGGCAGGGGAACTGGGGGGAATAAAAACAAAACATCCAGCTCTCCCTCACATTCGGCCTTGGCACAGATGAGGCTGGCCGAGGGGTAGTTGAAGGACTTGAGGATGCGGGAGACCGCCAGGCTGACGTCCTCGTTACTGGGGTACAGGCTGACAGACGCGAAGCGCAGGTACTGCAGGCGGGGCGTCTCCTCAGGACCCACTTTGATGTGGGGGATCTGGACAAAGAAGGAGCCTTTGCTTCTGCCCTGTTGCCCCCTGCCTCCATCCGGCCTCGCCTCCCAGGCACCCACCCCTGCCCTGCCCCACGCTCGGCTTACCTCCTTCTCCCCACAGATATGGCTCACGGTGGAGGCAGACGCAGGGCTGGAGGAGGGCCCCAGGACGGACACGACTCCCTTGGGAAGGATCTGACACACTGCGAGGGGTGGGGAGTGACAGATGGCGGTCAGGGGCCCTCCTCCCTGTCCTCACCTGGCCCAGAAGCACTCCTGATGCTTGGAGCGGCCCGATCCCCCCTTGGCCCCCCCCAGACCCCAAGGCCCAATCCCTGACCCCACCCACTGCATCGAACAAATAGAGAGATGGGGAGAAATGGCAAGAGCAGTGGGTCAGACCAAGGAAGAAACAACGGAAGGACAAAGAGGAAAGAGCAGGGGCCTCCTGGCTGCAAAGCTGGTGCCTGCTTCCCCAGCCTCTCTCTTACTCCTCCTTTCTAACCATGCTGCAACCTGGGGTACATCCCACAGCCCCTCTACCCCAAACCCACAGCCAAGGCCCCTTCTCTGCCCCACATCCCAAACATGGTTCTTCTCTTGCATTCATTCACTCTTCTTTTTTCTGATTTCTTTCCCCTTAAATACATACGCTTCTCAACACTAGGAAGTAGGAGTTGTTCCTTTTGTCTGCCTGGTACCCCTTCCCATGGCAGAACCCTAATTTTCCTCAGGGAACCATAGGTTTCCCAGGATTGGCCAGCACCCAGTCCAGTACCAGAACCATGCTGTCCTGGCCACAGTGATTAGTGCAGAGACAGGGACAGGCTCAAACCAGGCCATCGAGAGCCTTCCCCAGGTTTCTGCTACAATTATGACTAAGTGTGCTATCCTGGTAAGATAGAAGTTTTGAGCTGTTGGGCCGGGATATTAGTGAAAGTGTTCCTGAAAATGAAACCAACTTAGACGAGATTAGGGCCCATAGACAAAGACACAGAGATTCCTGGAACATCATTAAAGTTCCTGGATCAAGCCATGCCTGAAACAACCCTGGGACATCATTTGAGTACCTGGATCTAATCATGCCTGAAAGAAACAATCCTGGGATATCATTTCAGTACCTAGATCAAGCCATGCCTGAAATTAGTCCCTAGGCCTTCTAGTGTCATGAGCTGATAAGTTCTCTTTTTCCCTTAAAGCAGCTCGAGTGGGGCTTCTGCCACATCCAACTAAAAGCCTCATAACTAAATCCCTTACCTTCTTCCAAACTTGATTCTTCTGTGCCTTCCATATTGGTAAGGCCACATTTGCACAAAGCAAATGCTTGGAACAATCCTTGCCTTCAATCCTTCTCTCAATAGGCAAATTAGTCAACAAGTCTTGTCTCTTTTTTGTCCTCATATTTTCTCACATCTGTCTCCTTCTCTTTGACCCCCTCCTCCCCTGCCCTACTTTAGGGCTCTCATCTCAGGCATGCAACAGCCTCCTCACTAATCACCCAAATCTAGCCTCCAGATTCACCTTCCAGAAGCCCAGCTCCCTAGCCTAAACTCATCAATGGCTCCCATCTGCCTAGAGGTGAGGATGGCGCCTTTTAGCCTGCCACTGCAGGCCTCCTTGAAACTGATCCGCCCAACAGCCCAGCCTCACCTCCTATTGCTCCGTCATACTTCAGCCCAAGAGTCTCTCACAATCCCTCCAAACATGTCCTAAGTCCAGGTAGTTGGGACAGGTGCAACCCCACACCCTATTCCTCGGCTCCATATACCCACCTCCTCTGCTCCAGCTTCAGAGTATACGCATATGCCTGGAACACCATCTGCTTCCTTACTCTCCATCCCAGCTTCTCCCAGTTTGTGTTCTGTGCCGCACCAGTCGGAAAAGTACAAGAAACACTGTACCCCATTCTTCCTCTCACTGATTTGAAACATGCATGAATATAACAAAGGCTCTGATAAGGCCTGTAAGAAATCAGCCACTCGAAATCAGCCACTCTAAAACACACTGAAGACAGCATCTCCTGAGGATGTACAAACCCAGCATGTTTGTTCAAGAGATACCTATTAACATTCACTTGATCTGTTAGGATGCGACAAATACTTATGCACCCCTACTATGTGGCTACAGGGCATACTTCGAGCAATCCCACTCCTTCTATATCCTGCTCAACTTTCAGAGCTCAGACCTTTTGCTGTCCCTACCCCTGAGGTCCCCTGGCCTCGGTGGCCATGCCCATCATTACTCAGCTCTGGGGGCTATGTCCCTGGCCAGCTTATCTTTCAAATGAGGTCTTCAGCTCCTATAGGGTGGGGGTGGGGCTGGCGCTCTCCCCACCCAACCATGCCCCAAAGCACCATCTCTGGGAAGGGGAAGGCAGAGCAGACAAGGAAGGAAGGAGCAGGTGGAGCTAGAAAGCAAGCAAGCAAGCTGAGAAACAGACTGAGGGCTACCAGCCTGCCCTGCCTCACCCCACGCCCCCGTGGCCCTGCTCACTGGTGTCCGTGGTCTCGTACTGGCTGTCCCGCTGAAGCTCAAAGATGTCTACTTCCACGCGGGCCTTGGCTGGGACCTCAATGATCCCGTTGATCTGCTCCCGGGCCAGAGCCAGGGCCAGACGCTCACCGCGGCCACACACTGTCTGGTCGTCCAGGATTGCAGCTGAGGGGACACAGGGGTTGGGGACCAGATTCCTGGGTCCTGAGAGAGGGTGGGGTCCTACACCCCTGGGCTCTGAGGTGGGGGTGGGGATGCAGACAGAGGGGTCTAGGCTCCTGGATCTAGGGTTGGACAGAGCTGGGGTTCTGGACTGCTGGGTCCAGGAGGAAGACGATGGGAGCTGCTGTTCCTTGTTGCTGAGGGAAGCTGAGACCTAAAGCCCAGATTCCTGGGTCCTGAGGGACTGGCCTGCTCAGGAGGGTCTCTGCGGGGGCAGGGCAGGGGCTGTAGGGCCTCACCCATGCGCAGTGATGAGAGCACCTGGCAGCTGGGGCTGGCGAAGGCAACAATCAGCAGCAGCAGCAGCTCAGCCGGCATCTTCCTCCCCTCCTCATGGGGACGCAGCTGCCGCGGCCCCCCACTTGCCACCTGCAGGGAGCCCCCGCCCATGGGGGAGACTGCTGACATGGGGGGGGCCTCAGAGCCCTTTGGAAGACTGCGAGACGGGGCGGTGACCACAGACCCCGGGACATTGTGAGTGAGCTCTGAAGGGCCCTGCCCTTGTCAGAAGCTGACAATACAGAGGGCATTGCTACGAAGGAAATTCAGGCTCTGAGAGCACTACCAGTGAAGAGCTCCCAGCGCTGAGTGGGACAGGCACTGCAGGAGGACATTCACAGCTACCAAAATGGGAGGGATCTCAGGTAAGAGCAAATTCCAAGGACCATCCCCACAGCAACAGAAAACCAGGAAGTGCCACCCCCCCCACCCAGTTCCGCCCCAGTCTCTGGGCAGGCAGCTGTTACTAAGCAACAGAAACTGGCTGGAGAGGATGCTGTGGTTGCTAGGCAACCCCATCCCAGGCCTCACTTGCCACTTTCCTGACGTCCCTGGCTCCCACAATCCCACGGGGAGAGAGAGGCCTGGACATCCGGGGTCTGGAGGGGAGAGTATCCGGGAGTTAAGGAAACTTGGAAAGAGAGGGAATGATGGAGAAAGATGGAGACACACACAGAGACACACAGATGGAGGCAGATGGATGGACCCAAGGCAGCCAAGGGGCAAAAAAAAAAAAAAAAAAAAAAAAGAAGAGAGAGAGAAGGGAGAAAAAAAAGACAAAATTACGAAGAGAGGCTGAGGGCAGAGAAAATACAGAGACTCAGAAAAGGGGAAAGAGAAAAACAGGCAGAAATACAAGAACAAGAAGATCAGAAGACAGGAAAAGGGGGGATAGAGATGGAGAGGAGAGAGGAGTTTCTGAGAGGTAAGGACAGGCCTAGGGAAGAGGCAGGAAGGCAGGGAGCCATGGGGGTGGAGAAAGGGCAGGATGGGGAGAGGAACACAGGACAGGCAGCAGAGAGGGAAATCAAGGCAGCAGAGAGACACAGAATAGAACAGGAAGACAGAATGGAGAGAGCACAATCCTGCTTGAGATGCCACCAGAAGCAGCTGGAAGGGAAGAGTGAGGAAGGCAGGGAGGGAGCTGTCTGCCAAAGCAGGTGCCATGCTGCAGCCCCCAACCCTGCTCTGGGGAGTTGAGGAGGAGGGGGAGACACTGCCTCTCTGCTCCCCATAACAGCTCCATCCCCAGGCAGTTGGGAGTCCCCAGGGGGACCCCAGCCTTCTGAGGAGGACCTGCCCACCCACCCACCCACTCACCCAGGGAAGGGATGAGGTGGGCTAGATGCACAGCTTCTTCTGGCCAAGAGCCATACCCCGGTGGAAGGAATATTGGGTATCCAGGGGAGAGGGTTACTGTGAGGCCCAGAGTGCTATGAGGTGAGCCGGGGGGGGGGTCTCCTTGCACCCCTCCCCGATCCCCATAGAAGGGGGGCTTGAGCTGGTGAGAGAGCAGAATGAAACCTGCCAGCGGAGTGTGAAGGCACAACGCAATGCTTCAGACCATCCCTGCAGCCAGGGAAACCTAGGCCAGGGCAGCAGGAGGCCCTGTCAGTCCCTGCTGTGCCCCGACTCCCACCTGACCTTGAGCAGGTCCCTCTCTCGGGGCCTCTGCAAAAGGCAGGCTGGGGGTGGGAGGGCATCTCGGACAGGCTGGGGGCCGCAGATGGTCATCTGGATCTGAGGTGAAGGCTTCAAGGGCGGAGGAGCAAGGCAAGTTGGAGACCAGGAAAAAGTCTCCAGGGGAGGGCTGTAGAGGGTGGGGCTCGGAGAGAGGCAGGAGCCCAGGGGGGTCATCCTGAGACACCAAGGGCTTCTGGGGGCAAATAGGGGAACAGACACTGGAGGGGAGGGAAGCCCGAGGGAGAGCCTGGGGCCAGGTGGGCAGGGTCCCACAGGTGGCAGACACCGGTGGGAGCAGAAAGAGTGCAGGGGAGCAGATGGACAAAGACCTAACGGGAAGGCACAGACAGAAAGACAGACCAAAAGGAAGTAAGAGAGAAGGACACACACGTTACCTAGGAATGAGACACCAACAGAAACAGAGACAAGATGGCCTGCATGAGGCATGGAAGCAGGCAGGCCTGAGCCCCACAGGCCCAGACACTCAGGCAAAGCCAAATAAAGGTGGAAGCATAGCAGCCAAGTGGGCAGAAGGAGCCGAGTGAGGGCCCCGCCAGGGGAGGGAGACAGACAAGCGGGCAAGCAGGAGACATGGCCAAGGTGAGAAGGGAAATCGGTGAGACAAATGGGGTGAGGAAGAGGGGAAAAAAAAAAAAAAAAAGCAAAACCAAACCAACAGACGGGTGCAAAGGATTACAGGGAGGAGAAAAATCGCTAAACTCTGAAAAGGAAGAGGGCCAGGTGGAAAGAGGAAGGGACCAGGGGGACAGGCACAAACTAGGGGAGGGACAGTGAGGGCCAGGGAGGGAAATGAGGTGGGGAGGAAGAGCAAGTAACCCGGAGAGGGATAGGCAGGGACAGGGCAAGCGCCCACGGAAGGGGGCCTGGTTCACACTGAGGTGCATCCATCCAGGGGGTCTGGAGGAGGGGTGGTCAATCCCCAGAGCCCACAAACCCCAAGGCATGGGGAGGGATGAGGACCCAATGCCAGCCCAGGACAGAAATGAGCGCGGTTGGGGGTAGGACCACCAAGGAAAAGGCAAAGTGGACCCCAGAGTGGCTAAGGAGAGAAGAGTGGATTTGGGGGAAGAGGGAGGAAAAGTGAACAGGAAGACAGCCTCCAAGTGCAAGGGCAGAGGAGGAGGACAGGGGAGCAGGGCCACAGGCAGAGCACAGAGTGGACGGAGAGAAGTGGATAGAGAGCCTCACCTGGTGGTGTGGGCACCACTAGAAGAGCCAGACAAGAGACAGGGGAGTTTTGAGAGAGAGAGAGAGAGAGAGAGAGATCAACAGAGAGACACCAAGAAAGAGTTAGGCTAACAGCAAAGAGAGAAGTTGGACAGAGTCAGAGAGAGGCTCAAGAGAACACGAAATGGAGATTGTAAAACATAGACATTCCAGGAGATGGAGAGCGGATGGGATAGGGATGGGCCCGTGGCAGGCAGAGAGGACGAGCCTTGGAGGAAAGAAGAGAGATGGAAAGAGAGAGAGAGCAGAGCCGGTCACCATGGGACCAGGGCTGGAGAAAGCAGGGGCGGAGACTGGCTGAGAGTCCCGGACAAGGATTGCGCCCACAAGTAAGAGCCAGGCAGCCCCTCAGGACCCCAGAGGCTGGGGGCTGGGCGTGAGGCTGAGCTATGCACCCAGAAGAACGGTGAGAAGAGGCTGAGGGGAACGGCGGTTGGGAGATGGGGGACACAAGGCAGGCCCCTACTCAGGGAGGGGCAGGGGGAAGTGGGGGCCCCACCAGGCGGCCATGAGCCCAGCCTTCCAAGACCCAGGCTGGCCCCAGCCCAACCCCCGCCCCGCAGACACTCACGGATCCTGGTGGGACGGAGGGCTGGGCTCCCTCGAGGCCCGAGAAAGACAGCGGGGAGATGCTCTGGTGCTGGGTGGTGGTGTGGCTGGGGCGGGGGGAGAGGGCAGTCCACAGGGCCCCCCTCCCCCGCCACCGACTGTGGCCCCCAACTAGTCCAAAACGGGGCTCCCCGGGAGCAAGGAGGAAGGACAGGTGGAAGCGGAGAGGGCGGGCCGGGGCAGGAAGGAAGGGGAAAGGAGAAAATGGAGGAGAGAAGGGGAGAGAGGAGAGGGGGAAGGAGCAAATGGAGGGGAAGGAGGGAGGAAAGGAGGAGAGGAAGGTGAAAACGGAAGGGAGGGGGGCACAGGCAAAGCCGGGGGAGGGGGAAGCCGGCCCAGGAAAGGGCCCCCGCCCCCTCCCCTAGCCGGGCCGGCCTGGGGGGGCCACGGGGGGCGAGGACTGGCGGGAGACCAGGAAGCCGGCCATCCGGAGGAGTGGGGGAGGGGAGGACTGGATTGGGGGGAGGGGGCCACCCCTTCCCCCCTCCCCCCGGAGACTTGGCCCTGCCCTGGATGAGGCAAGGGCCTGGAGTCCTCAAGCCCTCAGCCCCCAAGGGGAAAGCATGCTAGGGGTGGGGAGAAGCAGAGGGGGGAAGGGGCTGGAGAGGATGGGGTGCTGGGAGACCCAGAGCAGAGAGGGGGGGCAGGAGAGGTGGAAGGATAGGGAGGAGGGAGAAGAGGAGGGAGGGAAGGATGGAGAGGAGCAGGTGGAAGAGGAAGGCGGAGGGGGGGGGGGTGGGGGGGGGGGGGGGGCGCCCGGTGCAGGGCCTCAGTGGGAGGGCCTGGCCACAGACTCCAGGTCCCCTGTGAGGTGCAGCCGCCGGCTCTGGGTCCCCAGCTGGGCCTGCCTCCCTGCTGCTGGCCACTGCTGCCACCTCCACTGCCGCCACCGCCGCTGCTGCCAACACCACCACCACCACCACCACCACCTCCACTGCCGCCACCTCTCCTTCTCCCCTCTGAGGCCGCCGCCTGCCTGCCCGCCCGCCTGCTGCCCGCCGCCCGCCTGCGCTGAGTCCTGGAGCGCAGGGGGGGGGGGGGGAAGAGGCGGGGGGGGGGGGGGGGGGGGCAGGGGGGGGGGGGGGCCTGGTTTGGGTGGGGCTGGGGGGGCCCCCGCGAGGAGAATGCTGATGCGAGGAAGGCGCTGCATTGGACAGAGGGCCCACCCCTGGGCCACCCCCTCCACCACCATGCCACCGCCCTGCCCAGGAGCCCATGGAGATGAGAGCAGGGAGACCTGAGGAGAAGGCTGTGGAGCTGGGGGCGGGGGGGAGGCTACAGAGATAAAGAAAAATGGAAAGGAATAGCAAGACCATCAAAACTCACAGAGGTGGGCCAAGGTCCACAAACCCCACAAGGACAAGGGCAGGGAAAAGCCCAGAGAAAAGACAGAAAAGCCCATGGAAACATGGGAGCAGACCAGAGACAGCAAGGGACCTCAGAGACGAGGGCAGCTGGTGGACACAGAGAGCACCCCCAGGAAGATGGAGAGAGGTCCATGGGAACAGAAAGCACTCCTCGGATATGGGGAGTGGTGCATGGGAATAGGAGAAAGGCCACAGAAATGGGAACAAGGACGCATATCACAGAGACAGGGAGGTGGGCCAAGCAAAGTGGGAGAAGGTCACAGAAATGGGGATGGGGGAACAGATACCAGGAACCCATGAAAATAAGGATGTGTGGACACAAGAGGTCCACTAAGGCAGGAGCAGCCAGCCCCTGGAGATAAGGGAGAAGCCCCCAGAAGGAGAAATAGCCCTGAGAGGAAGGGATGGGTGGGGAGTATGGGGATTGTCTCTAATGCATAGAAAAATCCTTGGGCCCCACAGACATGAGCAGGTGGTGTGAAGAGGTCCTCCGTCTCAAGCCACCACCTGAGCAAAGAGGCAGTGGGAGAGGGCAGGAAGCTGGAGGGCAGAGCCTGCAGAAGTGGGAGACTCCCTCCCAGGGAGCCCACTGCAGCTTCTCAGAGGGAACTGAGCAGGACAGGGGGATGGAAGACAGCAGCAGTGACACAGATCTTGGGAGTGGGGGTGGGTGGTGCATGGCTGGGTGGGGGGTGAAATTTGGGGGGAAGGAACATGACAGTTGGCGCTGAAGGCTGAGCCCGTGACTCACCACCACCCCCAATGCTCGTGATGGGGAGGAGACACTGACACACTCACGTGCAGCCCCCCAGCCCACGTGACCATATGCCTTTCTCACACACACACACACACACACACACACACACAGCACATGGCAATCCTTACACCAGCCTGGTACAGAAAGCCCTCATCCCACATGGAGCATCCCTGACATATGTTTGACACATACAATGGACCCTGAAGGACCACCAGCTCCTCACCCTACGTGGGCAACAACTATGGTCTTCTGACACCCACCCTCACCTCGCGCTAAGGCTGAAAGCCTAGAGTCTTGTCAGCCTCTAGGCCTTTGCTAATGCAGGGACCCCAGCAAAGAATGCCTATCCTTTCTAAAATAAACCTACCCCAGAAATCTAGCCCATGCCACTACCTCCACAAAGACTGATCCAGGCCTCAGCTTACTCCTGTATCATCAGAAGAGAAGGAACTGAGCTAATCTACCTGGATAAACTGGGAACTCCAAGCAGAAGGTCTGAGCAGAAAGGGGCCTGGCATGCCATGCTGGACCCTTGGGTTTTCAGGTGGAAAAGGGGGCTTCAGCAGGAGTGAAAACATGCCCAAGTGCATGGAGCCTATCAAAGGCTGCGTCTAGCTTCCAGGTCCTCTGGCTCCCGCCTCAGTTGATTCCACTGAGGGCAAACCCAGATTACCAGCTTTAGAGCTCAAGCATTTCCACCAAGTTCTTTTCTCTACTTCTTGCATTCATCCATTCAACACGCCATGAGGGGTAGGACATCCACCAGTCAGGCAGCAGAGCCTGGGGGCCAAGAGCATAGACCCTGGAGTCAACTCCTGGGTTGGAACCCTGGCTCTGTCTCCTCCTGAAGATGGGCAAGCTACTTAACTTCTCTTTACAAAGTCTCTTTGTAGAATGAGAACAGTAACTCCTCCCTTGTAGGGTTGTTGAGGTGGTTCAACTGTTACAGCGTACAAAGCACTAAGCACAATGCTTGGCACATTATAACACATTCAGGACACATTAGCTATTGTCACCAGGCTCCTGGAGGTCCTAATAAAAATAATTCCCAACAGCGTTTACTCTGTGCCTTACAACCATGACACGGGCTATTAATCCTCATTTCACAGATGAGGAAACTGAGGCACAGGGGAGTTAATTTGTCCAAGACATTAGCTAGGAAGTGGCTGGGTCAGGATTTCAATCCAGACAGCCTAGTTCAATTACACTAGCTTGTTGTTAGGGATTTTAATATAGTGGGAAGTTAGAGGACACCCAGTGAGAAACCAACTTGAAGGACACAGCAAAGGTGACGACCGAAGAGTCAGGCCTAGGTCCTACTCTGTATGTGGGGTCCCTGAGCAGCTTTTAGCTTCAGGAAGGTAAATAACCAACTCCCCTGAGACTCAGTTTACTCATTTGAGAAATGGTGGGATGTGGGACGGCTAGTTAGAACAAGTGAATCTCTTGCATCTCCCCAGTCCCTGCGTTCAGAGGGTATCTCTGGAAACGTAACTACGCTTGCCAACGTCCTGAAAAGCAGATAAGTAAGGATGGGCAGGGCCCTGTGGACACATGCAAACTCCACCGTCTGAGTCACCCTGGGTCAGCTTAGAAGGCAGGCACCTTGGAAGGCAGCAGAGCAGAATTCCATCTGCTACAGGGTCACCTCCTGCAGGTTCTCACCCTAGTTGTCCTTCAGGTCTTCTACCCCCCCCCCCCCCCCCGCACACTCCCCGTTTCTTCCAGTGCAGCTGTCCTTGCTTTTTCTTTATCCCCTCCATTTCCCATTTCCTCCTTTCTATAGGTTTTCCTCGTTCCCTCAGATCCCCGCGCTTTTTGCTTTCCCTTTGACATTTCTCCTTCCCCCTTCTTCAAGAGTCCCTCGGTTTTTCTCCCCTTCCTTCTTGCTACCTTCGTTCCTCTTTCTAATAAAGGGGTCTGGAGCCTCAGTTTCCCTTTTTACTCCCTCCATGTGCTTGGTGCTGCTATTTCCCCTCCCCGCTTCGCGCTGACAGGGGCTTCACTTTCTCGCTTCGCTCCTCGGCAGTTCCTGCGCACCGTGCCCCCGCCCCCCCCCCCTGGGGATCGTGTGCCCCCGTTTCTCCCACCCCCCCCCCCCCCCCCGAACCAACGCGACTGCCACCCGGCGTCCCCAAGATGGCGCCCGCAGCCTCGCTCCGCCGCCTGACGTCACCGCGCTGCCCTCCCTCCTTCAGGCGTCAGGCCGAGTCCAGGAGCAGCTGGAGGAGGAGCATCCTCCATGGGGCTTAAGGGGACGGACACTATCAACCTGGGGGCTGGCCAGTGTGGGGACATCGCCGGAGGATTGGTTGGGCGCTGCGGCAGATCCCGACGCTCCACACTATTGGCCCAAGAGTCAGAGACGTGTGCGTTGATTGGTCGAACGGCCGGAGCCAGACGGACGCTGATTGGGCGCGTTCGGCCGTTCCCGGAGCGGCCGAGAAGGAAGGTAGGCGGGGCGTTGCTGAGGGCGTTTGGGGGCGAGAGCGAGGCTGCGGAGCAGACGAGAGGCGACGGCGGGAGCTAGAGAGGGCGCAGCGCTAGGGTGGCAGCGCGCGGGGAGCGGCGGCCCGGGCCTGGGCCCGGGGCGTGCGAGACGGCAGAGGCCGGTGAGTGCGGACGGGCGCGCTGCAGGCCGACCCGGCACCCCCCCCTTTCCCCGCTCCCGGCCTCCCCCGCTCCCAGCCTCCCCACGCCACCCCGCCTGCGCACTGAGGGCCGGAGGGGGCGCGTTCCAGGCGGGGAGGGCGGAGCGGCACTAACGGCCCGCGGGGCGCGCGGGCGGCCGGGCGGGGGGCCGGGCGGGGGGCCGGGCCGGCGCGGCGGGTGGGGAAGGGGGTAGAGTCGTGTGTGTTGGGCTGAGTGAGGAGGGGCGGGGCCCCGGGTCGGGGGCTGGGAGAGAACCGGGTGGGAAGGGAGGCGTTAGAGCTGCTCCCGGGGAGAGGCTCCAAGGCTCCAGGGGGTATCGGGGCCAAAGCCTGGTGGTGGGGCCGTCTAGGACCGAAGCGGGGTGGACGGTTAGAGGGGGTTCGAGTGACCGGGGAGGGGGGTTAGGGCGTGAGAAAAGAGGTAATTAAGTTAACGTAAAGACATAAACCTAGTTATGCCTGG